TACTAACTACCTTAAGTTACTATAAATCCTAATAATCCTTTATACTAACTTATACTCCCTCTATAAGTGCCTTATAAAGCTTAGTACTACTAAAGAGAAGTAACTTATAATTAATATTATAGTACTTTACTAGTTATATAAGTAACATAAGATCTATAAGATCTAATAGATATAAGGGGAGAATAACCTAGTAGATAGATTTATAAAGGTATTACTTAATAAAGCGCTAGAGTAGTTAATTAACAGTAGTTAATTAAAGATATAAATAAATAGATAGGTTTTATATATATAATAAATTATATATATAAAAAGTATTAAATACTTTTTAGCTTTTTGTTTTTATTACGTTTTTAGGCCTTTTATAAATAACTAGAAAATAGGGATAATTTATAGCACTTTAGAAGGTTACTAGTGTTATAATATTAACTATTACCTAGATATTAGTAATATAGATTAACGCTAATTAGTTAGAATAACTATAGCTAATTTGCTGTAGATCTACTGGATCTATAGGGATATTACGTAGTAAATTTGCTGCGTAATCCCACGATAGTTTTCCTTCTTTACGTATAATTTAGAACTAGTATTTACCCCTATTATTTGTCACTTGCCTATTGATACGTACGGTTAACTGTATCACCACCCTGGTGAAACCAACACTTACCTTTGCAACAACCCCTCCTGCCTCTTCATCCGGGTTACGAAACATGCTATTGACCGTCTAGCTGACCCTCCATAGCCGATGCATCAAATCTACATATCATATGCCTCCTGGCCATGAGCTTAAGAACGAGGATTGATATGCATAAGTCCGTCAACACCAAAAGGAGTTTGAGCTCGGAAGGTCCCACAGACAAAACCAAATGTATCATGTACAAGGCGAGATGCTACTGCCCACCCTTCTAAGTAGGTTCCAGAGTGACATGACACTAGACGATAGCACCAGCAGGTCGTTGCTCAGGGGTAGAACGCAATTCATGTTCCACGCCGTCGTCGCCTACCACTTAGAATAACGCCATCAGTACCCATACATAGTATAGCAATAGTAACATACGGCTGAGAACAAGGCCAGAAAGAATATTTCCAATTTGACGTTCAACGATGGGGGCGAAAGTTCTTATTTCTTCAGTTGATTTGTCGTTCTGAACTTGCGTGCAGGTATAAGTGATGCTGAGCGTAGCGAAATGGCACGGCACCTGGCGCTAATGTAACGCTTCCCCGCCTGTATTATAGTTGTGGCCAGGGTCTACCGTTGGATGGTGCTGGATACCCTCATGTTATTGGGTTGATGCAAACGCTGATGCGGGGTTTCGATGAGGCAGCGACAAGCCATCTATCGCTCACTCGACTCCATCCTTGTCAGAGGCGGGGATAGTATCGAGTAAAGGAGTCAGCGATAGGCGTAGTTAGGGTTCAATTGTGACGATTATTCCAATATGCCTCCTCCAACCCCTATGTTCTACAGAGTTTTCCCCTTTTGTTGTTCCTTCGGTGACTAGTTTATCCGGTCCTGGTCCCATTCCGGTGCCCCCCTGGGGCCCCGCTCCGAGCACCTGACAATCCTACAGCTAGCAGCTCTGCAAAGTCCGCACCTGTATCATGGCAGACTGTAATAATGAAGATATGGAGTGTTTGGCCGAATTAGAAACTCGCGAGCTGCTTTGTGAACATGCTTGGGCCTTCTAGGTAAAAGCAACAAGCTAAGAAACGGACCATGGAATTACGACGTATTATGGCGAGAACGGGACTAACCGTTGCTTAATGAAAGAGACAAGCTTCTCCAATCTCGCAACAATTCATCAATGGCATTTAGAAAATAAAGGCAGCCGTCGCACCAGAAGCTGCGGGAGTATGACTCGTCCCCCCGAGAGCGCTCGCTGCCACGCCATCGCTATTCGGTTCATTGATATGCACCCCTTGTTTCCATATTGCCGCAGCCTGCATTTCACAACATCATTCTTTTCTCAGGCATTCTACCTAGGGAGCATGGGAGGGCGGGCGACAGGGTATACAGCACCTGCTTCTAAATGAGCCTGAAATCCAATACTTGGCTCTGGACTTGATGCTTGGTCAGGCTGGGTCCATTCTGGATGCAGTTAGTAAGTCGTACGTTATCACACTGTTGCAGCCTCCAAAACGGCTCAGCCAAGTGTTAATGCAGGCGTCAAGGAGCTCTTAGGCCATGTTTTAATTTGTCCCCACGCTGCAATCATGCCGGAGGCCACCAACGGGCTGAACATGCATGCATGCACATAATAGTGCTGTGCTGCGACCACAGAGATGGCCCCAACAATTAATGTTAAAGGTGATTCGCCGCGGTCGGTATCGATGGCATGATCACCTGAAAGTCTTGTCGGCGAGAAGCTGGGCATTCCTGATGCTGCCCAAGTATGACACGTGAGAGTATGCTAGCTGCATAGCCGGCCGTTTGGCTGGCCTCTCCAACGAGTTGTCTCCGTCTCGGGAAGTTTATGGTCACTGGGAAAGCCGTCTCTTCGTAGCGATATACTTGCAGTTTCTATACCGTCGCATTACGTGGAATAACGTTAAGGCCGCGAATCATGTACTTACTAGAAAGACTAGACAGATCAGGTGACTACCCGGAGGCCATAATAACAGTTGTTCGATCTATGACCTTGGAGAGACAGCTACATAGGTGAGTTGTACTTACTAACTTAATGATGCGTGTGCCGCAGCGAGTTTTTGCGGGCAAGACACATATGCCACCACCAAGCACATGTCCCTCTTCTGTACCTCGTGCAGGAAACGTTGGTACTATATTCCAATCACCTTCCTCGCATTTATGAAGATGCATAGACATGAATTCTGTTGGCAAGCAGGCTTTTCTTCGCAATGCCGTTGGTGCCAGTCGTCACATAATGGGTTGCCATGCATCACTGATGGTCCAATCAACCGACTCAACGTGGCTGCACGAAGCGTTGCCTGCGTGGACAATTCCGGCCTTGATAACAATGTATCACTGGGTCATTTCCCTAGCCGACAAGCGAGTCCTTCAAGTGCCATGTCTACGGCTAAGGCGTGATGATAGGCAGGCAGGGGACGAGGGGCTTAAAAGACGTTCGAAACGCCAATTACCCACGGAATCACTTCGCTCAATGTCATCACCTTCCACCCCTATGCATTTTACTGCCATATTGGACGAGCTGGGGACCTCGAGATCATGCCGAACAAGAAACCCAAGAGCAACAAAAAGGCCAGAAGCATCAAAGGATGGTCTCTATACTCCGCACTGCATAACGACGTACTGCAACTTCTTCAAGAAGACAACCTCACTTTCAAATTCCACAATGACGACAATGACGACAACTCCAGACGTGATTATGACACGAACATCATGGGCCAGTTTGCATGCCGGAACCATGCGTGTCATGCAAATGGTTGGGCGAGCAAGAGAATCCCCGTGACGATCCGAATGTACGATGGGCAACGATACAATGCCAGGGTTTACCATCAGCGGTGCAGACAATGCAACTCGCTGAGCCGCCCAACGCTGGACAGCTCGTACGCTGAGAGAGTGGCATATCGCCTCAAGGTTTGGTGCGGGATTCCAATGCAACCACCCAACTTCGTCAGGAAACCGGCAAAGAAACCTCATGCGAGTGAGTTATGTGAGGGCTGCAAAGCAGGGCATTGCAGAGAGGGATGAACGTGGGACTTGAGCCTCGTGTGCCCGCATTCTCGCGGTATGGCAAACACTAGCATAGTGGTTGTTGGGGCAGGCGAATTTGGACGTGTCTGACAATGGATGTCGACTGGATGCAATACAACTGGAGCAAATCAATTGAATAATTATCGTTAAACTTAATCAAGAGTTGATAGTATAGGTTGTTGTTTCTTATAATGCCTTGTAGAACTGATAGAAGTAATGGAATTGAACCCTGATATTATTATTATAAATTGACCAACTCTACTTCTGAGAAGTTTTGGTTCTCAACGTTAGTACTTCAAAGTCCCTGTTTAGAAAATATATAAAAGTACTAAAGTTATCACAGGGTGTTTGCGTAGACAGGTAGATAGGGCGGCCTAGCAGACATAGACTTGTGTCGAGGACTAATAGGGATGAAGATTGAGAAGCCCCTCATATCTCAAACAGTGCATTACATTAGCCACCCTCCAAGGAGATTAAAAGGACTAGCTTAGGCGCAAGATGCTTCAAGCTCCGTCTGAGCTGGGGGAGGTGTGTGTCAGAAAGTACTCAAGGAGACAGCTAATGGGACGAGTACGCAACAAGTAAAGGAGCTCCACATCTTCTGCGTACTTGACAGCTTCTTAGTGCGGCAGACCTTGGACCCTCGGGCACTACGGAGTCTTACTTTATCACAACCACAAATACGGTCATCGCGAGCATTCTATCCCCCCTCGGCCCATCTTTCTCCCCCAAACCGGCGGCATTTCCAAGACTCTCATATTAACGCGACGTTGGCCCCGACCTGTCATCCTCTTCACGACCAGAAACAATCACTACTGCAACAATGACAACGACAGCGAAGCCCAACCCCCAGCTCTGCTCTCCCCTCTTCCAGGTGTTACCCCTGGAAGTCCGCCAGCGCATCTACGCATTCCTCCTGTCCCTCGAGCACGCCGACTTCGCCGACACGCTGCGGCCGATGCACACGTACCTGGACCCCTCGTCGCAGCACCGCGGCGCCCAGCTGCCCGAGATGATGGTCACGTGCAAGCTCGCCTACGCCGAGATGGCGCCCCGAGTGCACGGGGAGGCGGCGCTGCGGGTGCACCGGCGCGGGGGCCGCGAGGAGCGCCGCGCGGGCTTCGCCGTCTACGGCCCGCTGCGCATCGAGCGTCTGCAGCGCCTCGTCCTCGTCGTCGACATGGAGCACCCCAACTGGAACGGCTGGCTGGCGCTGTTCGCCGAGGTGGCGGCGCGCGCGACGGGGCTGAGGCACCTCGTCGTCGACTGGGCGCCGCGCCCCGTCGCCGTGGTCGGGCTGGTCGGCTGGCAGGCGCGGCAGCACAGGAGCAAGGAGGGCGAGTTCCTCCGGACGCTGGATAGCTTGGGCCGTCTGCAGACGGTGCTGTTGTACGGGACGGTGCCCGAGGCGTGGAGTGCCGACATCAAGCGGCGGCGGCCCGAGGTGCGCGTCAAGTGTTACCCGTTCCGGTGGTGGAGGGAGCCGGGCCTTGAGTGAGGGCGACAGTAGCAGGTCGCTGGGACACGGAACTGACCGGCATCTTGCCGCATGCTTTATATATAAAGTACAGGGCAGGTATATGTACATAGAACAACTCTAGACAACGCCCATGTTACAAGTACATTCATTATCATCACTAATCCACGTCGTAGGCATGCAAGAGCGACGTCCACAAGAAAGCATATCTTGTAGTTCTATTTCTTTGTAATCAAGGTAGAGTAAAAGTCCAATATTGGTGGGCAAGCTGTGTGGTGACTGATGGAGGGAGGAAGGGAGGCATGGGGGACCTCGTCGGGGTATCATTAACCAGCTAGTGGCTGAAATTTGATCCCACGCAGCCTCCCCCCCAATCTACGTCTCCAGTTGGAAGTGAAATGTCTTGGAAGTGAACTGAATGTCTGTACCGCTGATACGCCAAGCAGTGCGTGAATAAAAAGTGCCGGGGTGTAGGGGTCTTGGGGAAGAGCTAAAGGGTTTCAGGGTTTTCTTTCCCGTTGTTCCTCTTTTCCTCTTTCCTTTCGCTGTCATCTTTGACCCGTGATCTGGGCAGAAGAAGAGAAGGCAAAGTGTCGTGAAGCGTGGTGTAAACGCTTCAGCTTTCTCCGCTCTCACACTTCCCTCTAAGCCTCAACGTCGTCGGGAATGTCCTCTTCCCCGTAGTCCTCCTCCTCGTCGTCCACGGCGGCATCCTGGTACTGCTGGTATTCGGAGACCAAGTCGTTCATGTTGGACTCGGCCTCGGTGAACTCCATCTCGTCCATGCCCTCACCCGTGTACCAGTGAAGGAAGGCCTTACGGCGGAACATGGCGGTGAACTGCTCGCCAACACGCTTGAAGATCTCCTGGATGGCCGTGGAGTTGCCAACAAAGGTGGATGACATCTTGAGGCCGCGGGGCGGGATGGAGCAGAGGGCGGTCTGCACGTTGTTAGGGATCCATTCGACAAAGTAGGCCGAGTTCTTCTGCTGCACGTTGCGCATCTGATCCTCGACCTCCTTCATCGCCACCTTGCCGCGGAAGATGGCCGAGCACGTGAGGTAGCGGCCGTTGCGGAAGTCGGAGCCGGCCATCATGTTCTTGGGGTCAAACAGCTGCTGGGTCAACTCGGGGACAGTCGTGGCGCGGAACGAGGACGAGCCGCGGCTGGTGAGGGGCGCGAAGCCGACCATGAAGAAGTGGAGGCGCGGGAAGGGGACCTGTGAAGCGTGGAAAAGAGGGAGACGAGTATTAGTAAGGATATCACTAACCCGTGTATCTCCCACGACGTGTAGCCAGATATATCTTGGCCATGCCAGACTAGGAGAACAGGGTAAAGGAAGGAGACGATTCTCACCATGTTAACAGCCAACTTGCGCAGATCCGAGTTCAGCTGGCCTGGGAAGCGGAGCGAGGTCGACACGCCGGACATGACGGCGGACACGAGGTGGTTAAGGTCGCCGTAGGACGGGTTGGCCAGCTTGAGGGTGCGTCTGCAAATCTCATACAGAGCCTCGTTGTCAATACAGAACGTCTCGTCCGAGTTCTCAACCAATTGGTGGATCGATAGCGTTGCGTTGTAGGGCTCGACGACGGTGTCGGACACCTTGGGAGACGGGACAACACTGAATGTAGCCATCATACGATCGGGAAACTCTGTAGTTCAAACAAAAGGGCAGAGAGCGCTCGTGTTAGTCGTCGGGAGATCAAACCATCCAGTACATGACACAAGCACCACGTCGCGCCGGCAGAGAAGAGAGCCGCCGGAGGAGGGGTAGGAGGGGGGGGGGGGGTGCGATTTCTGGCTTACCCTCTCTGATCTTGGAGATGAGCAGCGTTCCCATGCCGGAGCCGGTACCACCTCCGAGAGACTGGGTGATCTGGAAGCCCTGCAGGCAGTCGCAGCCTTCGGCCTCGCGGCGGACCACGTCAAGCACCTGGTCGACCAGCTCGGCGCCCTCGGTATAATGGCCCTTTGCCCAGTTGTTGCCGGCGCCGGCCTGACCGAAGACGAAGTTGTCCGGGCGGAACAATTGACCGTAGGGCCCGGCGCGGACGGCGTCCATGGTGCCGGGCTCGAGATCGACCAGGACGGCGCGGGGGACGTACTTGTTGCTGGCAGCCTGGCGAGTTCGGTCAGATGGCCCCAGTCATTCCAGCGGCTAGATTCCCCCGTGCGGGGGGGTCAGAAGAAATGACTTGCCTCGTTGAAGTAGACGTTCATCCGCTCCAGCTGGATGTCGGAGGTGCCGGTGTACCTAGAGTGCGACTCTCAGCACGAGACAGTCTGCTAGAGGTACGTGACGGCCCGCACGGCCACCGCTTCTGACGCGAGTCGGGCAAACAAACGTACGGCCTTGCGTCAACTTACAGGCCACTGCTATCCAAGCCATGCTCGCCGGAGATGGTCTGCCAGAAGGCAGCACCGATCTGGTTGCCCTACACAGTATATGGCGCGTCAGAATCGCGTCGCCGAGGGTTTGTTTTGAATCTTCTGAACTACATGTCTGGGAGGGGATGAACTCACACATTGGCCTGTCTGGAGGTGCACCTAGAAGCGAGAAAGACACGTTAGTGTGATGAGTATTTGCGGAGTCTCCAATTGGGATTCAGAGTGGAGGGAAAATGGGTAGGGGAGGCATGTAGAGGAACATACAATTTCACGCATGTTGACACTCGGGTTTGGCGGCAAGGCGAAGGATGAGATGGATCAAGGTGAGAGAAAGTAAAGTGTGTGAGTGTGTGCGAGAGAGAGAGGGAGGGGGAGAGAGAGAGAAAGGGGACTGTGTGGCTACCCCTTTGACTGCTGCTTGGGCTCGTTTACTATTTTCCCTACGAGCTTACCTAGTCCATTTCGGTCGTGTGGATGCATACCTAGGTCGGTGATAGTCGCGAACCCATGGCCCAAGCTTCAATATCATTAGCCAAATCCTCCAGTAAAGTGGAACGGGTTCACCGCCTGTTCCCTGTTAGCACACGTAGCAAATATTACAGGTACTGGATAATGAACACAAATAGGTATGGAAGAACACGGCCTTGCTGCATATGTGGAGAGACTCGGAGGGGAGCTGGAGTCCGATGGGGGACCTGGAAGTGGTTCAACAGAAACCCAATGGGAACTGCGTGACCGGGGGAGCTAGCTAGCTTCCGCGGGTTCAAGTAATACTGCACAGATCGCCGACGGCCAAGCACCCGTACTCGGTTCGGGTGGGCGTATATCCGTACATACCTAGTACCTAAACACGGAGGTTACTTCTCGTCCGGGGTTAGCCAAGGTGGGTGTAGGTTGGTGGGAATACGCACCTCAGACACAGACGTCCGGGCCGCTTCCCGTTCCGGGCCGCTGGGGGATCATCATAGCCTCTGAAGGATCACGGATGCAGTGCGGGACGGGCAGTGCTGAGCAAGAAACTAGTAAAAGTGAAGACGCTGCAGCTCGTTGTGACTGCTTATTCCAGCCGACGACCCCTCCCCGAGGATGCAGCACATCCTAGTCCTGCCGCTGCCGCCCAACCTCTAGTGCCCGGATTGGTAGCGTCCACTTAACTTTGGTGCCTCACAGTCAGGTTCTAGTAAGCGCCCCCTTGGCGCTTCCGAGCCTGCATGTCTATCTCTTGTATACCACGCCCTCTCCCTCGGCCAACTAGTATGTTATTCTCAATGGACCGTAGTAATCGAGGGCCCCTTGTACGAGAAGCGTGTTCGGTCTTCGGTCGGCCCCACTTGAACCCGGCCGAAGCCGTGGTCTTGGCGCATCCTCGGCGCCCGGCGTGGGTAGAATGATGCTCAGGTGTACATTCGTGACAGGAATAGGACGGGTCGACGAGTCCGGCTCGGAAGGCCAGTGTTGGCAGCTTTGCAATCTGCAGTGCTTGCTCCCTGGTTACCGACCATAGCCCTTTATAAATGCATAATAGCGGCCTAGCAAGAGATGAGAAAGAAACTAGGGATTCGCTCCGTAACCAACGACAGCTGAGAATTCCCAATCCTGGTCCGTTTCTCTACTTCCCCGGATACAAACACACGTGGTCCCTTTTTCCTACAGACTCTTGACGCAAACGGCTTTGCCTCGTCGAAATGGGATCGACCGGGCATTCAGAGCTGCTCCGGCTAGCCGAGAGCGTCCTGCAGGCCACAACGACCATTGTGCACCATCTGCAAGATACCAATCAGCAGGAACCCTCGTTCGATCAAAACAGCGTCGCCATCCAGGGCAGCGACGGATCCGAAGCCGCGCGGATCCTGCTCAACGACGCAGCCCGCAGCCTCACGCGGCTCGTGAACGGGCCGGTGAACGAGTTCCGCTCCTTCTTCATGACGCAGTACGACCTGGCGGCGTGGCAGGCCGCGCTCGAGTTCGGTCTGTTCGGCCACGTGCCGCTGATGATAATAATGATGATGATATTATTTAACGCCCGTTACGTCCATCTTGTAGCATAAGGCGCCTGCGCAGTCTATCCATATTACTAGCCTAGATACCCTCTTCTAAAGGGTATTTAGGTAAAATAACGTCCCTATAAAACAGTATAAATCCCCTATTATAAGCACTAAAATTAGTATTTTCCTCCTAAGATTATACGTAAAGTTATATATACTAAGTAATAACTATATAGGGATAGTAATAGTAATAGTAAGAGAGAAAGTAAGTCTTTTAGTTTATATTATTTAAGGGCTAAGGTTAAGTATAACTTTAGTAAGGTGTAAAAAGTAAAAGTGTGTTATATAGAGATTATTAGGTATATATATACTAAGAGGACCCTACCTAGCTAATAGTTAGAGGTAACCTATAATAGTACTAGATTAAGGTAGGGAGAGCCTTTTTAGTAATATGTCTTAACCTAGGTTATAGCTAAGCTAAAGGTAATCCCCTACTTATAGTCTACTTTTACTAAGAGGGGCTTAAAAGGGCTAACTATAAGATAGTAGACTCCTACTACTACTAAGGGGGCCTAGTAGATATATTAGTGTAGGCTTTAGGGATAAGCTTAATAAACTCTTACTAGTCCTCTTTAAGCTAGGTATATATCCCTATCTATAGTAGCTAGGGCTATAACTATTAGTAGAAAAAGGGGTAGTTTAAGGCCTTTAAGGCCTTATACTAGTAGAGGCGCTTAGTATTAGTATAAGTAAACTTATTATAGTAGGCTATAAAGTTACTATACTTAGTATAAGTAGTAAGGAGGAAGTAAAGTTCTTTATATAGTAAGAATAGCTTTAAGGTAGGCTTAAGGTTAGTAAAAAGATTAGCTAACCTATATTATTAGTAATAATTTAAGTAGGCCTTATTTTACTAGCTAAAGAAGTTTATATTATTATAAAATTATACCTCTTATTTAATATAACTAATAGTAAAAAAGTAGGTCTTTAGGTTAGGTAGTTTTATATAAGCACCTTACTTAGTAAGGCTATTAGCTATCTTATTTCTTAGTATATCCTTATACTTAAGTAATTACTATATATTTATTAAGACTATAAAGTAAAAAGCTAAGCTATAGAATTTTAAAAAGGCTAACTATAAGAAGTTAGTAAAGACGCTATTTAAGTAGTAGATAGTAGTATAGTTATTAAGGTATACTATTATCTTAGTAGTGTTAAAGTAAAGCCTAGTAAGGTCTAAAGTAGTAAATAGTCTAGCTATAGCCCTTTTAGCCTTAGCGTTAAAGACTTTAGCCTTAAGGAGGTAGTAGCAGCCTATATATAGAACCCTCTTATTATAGTACACTATATACCTAAACCTAGTGTTATTTAGTAAAACCTAGGAGCTATTAGTATAGGCTAGTAGGTAAGTAGTTAGGAGGGTATTAATCTAGGTAAAGTAAGTAGCTATAGCTTTATCCTTTTTAAGTTTAGTATAAGGTGCCTAGTTATAGGTCCTAAGATATAGGACTAGCCTAAGGAAAAGTAGGAGGGTATTAGTAGTATTAGTAAAGATAGTAAGGTAGAGGGTAGTACCTTATAAGGCCTACTTATACTAGGTCTTAACTTAGTAGGTAAGTAGGTAGAGGTAGTTAAGAGAGCTAAGCTATAAGGCGTAGCGTTTTTAAGTAGCTTATAGTAGTAAGTATACTAGTAAGGTACTAGACTCCTTATATAAGGCAGTAAGAGGGGTAGTACGCTAAATAAAAAGATATCTATAGATACTTATATTAATAGCTACTTAGAGTTTAGTAAGTTAGTCCTTAAGACTATATTATATATAAGTAAATCTACTTTATATTTTCTTTACTATAGCTTTATTATTTCCTAAGTACTATAACTTAGTAATATAAAAGGCCTTTAAGATAATAATAGTATATAGTATATATTATATAGTAGCTAGGGGGGCGCCTCTAAGGACCTTATTAAGGCCCTAAAGGTATCTTACTATTAACTATACCTTAGTAGTACGTACTTTAATATATGTTTATAAAAAAAAAGACTAGTTAAGCTAGACCTTAAGCTATCTTATAGCTAGTTTAAGGAGTATATTTTAGTATATATAAGTAATAGCTAGAGGTAATTCTCTACTAAGCTTATAAGAGAAGTATATAACTTCTATCTTATTAAGGTTAAAAGTAATACTATTTACTTTACTACGTTTAATAATATTATTAAGGATAGCTTAGGTAGAGGGAGTAGTATATATAAGGGTTTTCTTTATATAAAGGATACTATAGTTATTAGTATAGCTAAATTAAGTAGGCTAGAGACCTATATTATATATAAGGACTATATAAAGTAGGTAAAGAATTAAGAAGACTAAGGACCCCTAAGGGAGGCTATAATAAAGTAGCGCTATAAAGGTATAAATCCCTTTATAGTGTATATAAGTATATTAGTAACTAGTAAAGTACTTAACTTAGTTAATAATATTAAGAGGCTACCCCTACTTATATAGTTAGAGGTTAAGAAGGTTTAAGAGGGTAGTATTAAATACACCTTATATATTATATATAATAAGGGTAGTAACCTTTTTTTTAGTAAAAGCCTCCTTAATATTATAAGTAAGGCTACTTATAATATTAACTATAAAGCGTTTTAAAAAGGCGCTAGTAACCTAAGGATAAAGAATCCCCTACTATATATAGGCCTATATAAGTCTATAAGTAATAAGTTACTTAAGGCCTTTACCTAAAGTAAAGAGAAAAAAGATAAAGCGCTATCCCTTAGTAGTGCTAATATCTTAGTTAGGCTTAAGGATTATAACTATTTTAGCCTTATAAAATATCTTAAGGTAATACTTAATATAGATATAACTAAAGTATAAGAGGTAAATAAATATAAAGATATAAAGCTAAGTAGCTTTTAGTATAGTAATAGTAATACTATTAGCGCTAGGTAAGGTGTTTCTAACCCTTAGTAAGGACACCTAAACTTCCTCTAGGGGAATCTTAGACTACTAGTATAAGGTAGTCTATAAGGCTATAAGTATATTAAAGCCCTTACCTATAGAGGGAATATCTCTCTTAAGTAAGGTAAAGTATAAGAAGAGAGCCTTCTTTATAAGGTTAGTAAGTAGGGTTATTTTAAGGCCTTATAGGGGAGGAAAAGTAAATTAAGTAAAAGGCTTATCTTATCTTATTATATAGTAAAAGTCCTTATTAGTCTTTATTAGAGGTAATAAGGGGTAATATAAAGATAAGAGATAAGAGATAAGATAAAGGATAATAGATAAGGAATATAGTTATAATATATTATATTTCTTGCTTATAGAACTAAGACTAACTGTCTAGATAGAGGGAGAAAAGGGGATTATTTATACTTATTTTCCTAAGGTTATCTTAGATTTGTAGAGACTTCTTCTAGATTCTAGGTTATTAACTAGTTTATTTATGAGGTTATTATTTAGTTAGGTTATTAATCTAATACACTTTGCTTATATAGTTTACTCAGTGTGTTTTACTACTAAAGTAACTCCTTAGGAGAATAGTGCTCTTCTTAGAAGTACTATTCTTTATATAGTAATATTCTTATCTTTTATAATATATAGTAGAATTTAGAGTAGTTATATAGTTATAGAGTGTATATAGTGTATATAGTATTATTAATACTATAATATATATTATACTTATATTTAATTCTACTATATTATTTATAGGTTTTATAAGGTATTAAAGCTTAATACCTAATATAAACTACTATACCTTTTTATACTTTTATATTAGCTAATAGAGATATAGCTTCTTAATAGTATAGTTAGGGTCTCCTTAAGAAGATAAATAAATAAAACTATAAAAAAGACTAAGGGTAAAAGAAAATACTTATTAGCTTTGAGTAAGGTGTCTAAATTTATATAACTAGCTATTATCTATACTTATATAATATAGCTACTTTTTAATTTATTAACTTTTACTTAGAGAAGTAGGCCTTTTTTTTATTAATAAACTACTAGTTCTAAAACTAAGAAATACAACCGTACAAAAGAGTACGCAGGTCACCTGTTTTATTACTATAATTAAATAGTTATACACTTATAAGGGCAATTAATATCTAACTCACCCTCTTAAGGGCTTATAAAGCTTATAGGCCTTAGACACGTTATGTTATGTAAGGTAGAAACCCTAGATTCCTAGGTAAAGACCCTCTATTATGTGTGTTACGACTGTGTATTAAACTTAGTTAATTAAGATTAACTAGGAGCTAGGCTTATAACTACTAAGAAATATAACTGTACAAAAGAGTATGTAGGTTACCTGTTTTGTTACTATAATTAAATAGTTATATACTTATAAGGGTAATTAATATCTAACTCTAAATAATAACTTTATCTTAGTATTTAGTATATATAGTATTTACTTATAGAATAAGACTATACTTTACTACTAACCTTAATATAATACGTCTTTACTTATAAGTAACTTTAAAAATAAATAATAATATATATACTATTTCTATACGCTTTAGTGTTTTAGTACTATCTCTAAACTAAGCTTATTATTCTCTAAATAGTAAGCTTATATTAAGGTAAGATATATATACTAAACGTTATTTTATTACTACTATTAAATTCTATACTAATAGTTATAGGCTACTTGTTTTTTATAGCCTTCTTTATAACCCCTTACGTAAGAGTAGTTATAACGCTAGCTTATATAGTTACCTTAATTACTACTTTATTTTCTAGCTAAAAGTCTTTATACCTTATTTATATACCTAATATGTCTACTGCTATATAGTTATTATTAGGCGTAGTAGTGTTAGTACTGGCTTTACTATATTAGTAGGTAGTAATAATAATAGTAATAGAATTATATATAACTATTAACGTATGCCTTTTCTTATAGATATTATATAGAGGTTTAGATAGCCTGTTATTACTTTTTAAGCTTATCTTTATTAGAAAATAATTTTTTAAAGAGCTATATAGTTAAGTTACTTAAACTAGTAAAGCTTTAGTAAGGAAAAGATACTATACTATTAAAATATCTTAAGTAATATATAATAACGTACTTAAGAAGTCT